AATGTCAATTTTCCCTTTATTGGTGCTGATATGATAGGACCGATGTATAGGTACACCTCTAATTTGAGTAGATGAGAATAGATCTAAACTTGGTGTATGAGTTCTGGTTTAATTACAGTAGCTGTATTTCTTTGTACTTGACAATGGCAAATATAACTAGCTTCTTTGTTCAATCTGAACTTTTATGATCTAAAACAGGGGTTGGCAAAATATAGCCTGTGGGCCAGGTCTGGCCTGGCAACTGATTGGATGCAGCATATAAGTGGGCACTCACCAATTGATTGCATCTCACCTGTGGCTGCTCCCACAGTGCTCTACTTGAGCCTGAGCCTTGCCCATTCTTGCCTGGGCAGCTTGAGCTGCTTTTCCACCCACAGCCACCCTGCGCCCACTAGACAGCTCCATTGTGGCCAGTGCATACAGCTTCCCAGGAAAACGTGTTACTGCAGCCACCCAGGTACTGCTCAGCTTCCCTGCCTCCAGCGACGACTCCTCGTCCTGCCCCTGCTGCACCACTCTGGTCAGCAGGTAACACAGGGAAGCCAGGGGGATGCATGCCAGGCAGCAGATGCTGCAGCCAGGTGGCTCCTGTCCCAGTGCATGGAGCTCTAGCTCCAGCTCCTGACTGCCTTCTGCCAGTACCTGAATGGCTGCAGCCTCACCTGGAGCAGCTGCTGGGAAGCTCTGCGTACTGGGTGGGGCCAGGAGCATAGTACAGGCTTCCTGAGATGGAAACAGGTGGGACTCGGCCCCATGTGGAATGCTGTGGGCTGGATGGGGCAGGGGGGCAAACTACACCTGCACTCCCCAGGCAAGCTCTGCTCCATGTATCCCCCTGTCCTGCCCTCCTTGTACCCCCAGGCAGTTCCTGGGACCTCGTGTGTCGGCAGTCTCCCACACACACGTGCACATCCACACCCTGCATGTACCCCCCTCCCCCACCTGACATGGAATATACAAAAGTAAGGCTTTAATTTGAGCTATTATACAATTGTCTCTATACATTACTCAAAAAAAAAATCGGGACAAAATTTATTTTTTGTAATGAAATTAAAATATGTTAAAGCAGATGTTTGATTCTTAGTATACGATTCATTTTTTATCTGTAACTTGTTAAAATGGTATCTTCTGAAAGATTTTTGTATGTGCAGCCTTCAACAGCTCACCAAAACTTGTTAAGTGGCCCTCCAGCTGAAATAATTCCTACCCTTGATATATCAAGTCTTTGAATTATATTCGCCCTATGTAATCTAATCAATTTAAGCTGTTATGAAAGGCAAAGGTAAGACCTTTGGCTCTTGAAAAGCATGTATAATAAGAAAGCTAATACAAATAAAACCATCTTGGATTTGCAAATTAATTTAAAAATCAGAATGGGGACTAAGGGTATGGTATAATATCTCCAGTAATAAGATTGGCTCCTGTAAGAACTAAACTTTCTTTTGATTTTGCACAGCTGTACTTAGTTTCAAGCTTCTGCTCTCCCTATGCATACAGATTTTTTCTGAAGTGATTTCCTTCTCTGCATGGCAGGAGAACAGAATATTAATACAAAATACCTAAAAGAATATTGTATCTTTAAGTATTCACTTTTCAAAACGGGGAAGTTTGAACCACTTTTTAAGAAAAACACTGGCTAGTACTTAATTATAGTAAGACTATTAAACACAGCAGGAATGAAGTACTAAAATCAGTAACTGTCAAGCTTCGGTACATACTACAAAAGTTACTTTTACTATGAAAATATGAAATTTAAAATGATCACTTGGGACTGTCACTAAAGACTGAATTAATGATTTTCTATTTTAACCAGAAAGGATCTATTTATACAGGAAGAAAAAGAGCAAAAGCCCAAATTGAAAAACATCCCTGTTAATTTAACAGAAATGCAAAATTGCAGCATTTTTCACTGCAGTGTATTATTACTCATTACTGTTTAGCTCAAACATACTGTGTGAAACTTACTGGAAAAAGGCCAACTGGCTTGGCACCTTGTCAAATGAAACATTAATTCAAAATAAATTATTAAAAATACAAATTGGGCACAGCACTTTTATTAAGATAAATACAGTTGAGGGTTGTATCTTTTTTATTGCTGTCTTCACAAATCTTATGCTTTTATTTCTTTTTTTGATTCTTGTGCATTTCATTTTAATTTTTTCCAACTCTTTCACTTCAGACTGATATTTTGTTTTTCTGCACTTATTTCATGCTGGTTTACTGTAGATTTTTTTGTGATATTGATGGATACTGTTTTTAATGTTTTACTTGAACATTTTCAGATTCTTTAACTTCATCTTTTATTGAGATTTTATTTTTATTTATCATTACCTTCAGATATGCCAGAGAATTAGATGAATAATGTGTGGGGGCGGGGGTTAAGAAACTCTTTGAATAAAATTTTAAAGGTTAATTTTTGAAGACATTTAATGAAAGATTAAATGGAGGCAATTGGAAACTGAGTTTTGCTCATGTTGAAAAAATTGGAAATGTGTACAAAATAAATGAAAATACTGGATTTAAAAAATATTTCAGGTTTAATAACTTGGTGGTTCTAGCAGTGTAAAGCTTGTCAGCCTCCTTTCACCTGCGTGCTTTGGGAATACTAAACCCTTTAGAAAAAGCAATTAAATTAGCTTGAAACTAAATTTGAAAAATTATTTCAATATGATTAATGACTAGGAAAAGCTAAGCGATGTCATTTTTGTTCTTTAAGGGATAAGGTAAAGTACTAATAACAGGTTAACTTTATGCACTGTTGTATACAACTGTGTAAATGCAATACTTAGCTTGCAAATGCTGTAAAGCAATATGAGGCTTGCCAGCACGGTACTTGCAGCTCTCCAGAGCTGAAGCCCCACCCACTTCTCTGCTTTGGGACTGCTGGCTCAGGCGCCGGGCTCCCAGGGCTAAGGCTGCATCTGTGTTGCTTACGCCAGGGCACGCTCCCCACGAGGAAAGCCAGAGTGGTTTGGTGCCGCAGTGGCAGGAGCTCAATCCTGTGGCCAGCTCCCAGCTCCTAAACATTAAACTGGAGAAGTAGGCAGAGCTCTGCAGCTCTTGACCTTCAGTGGAGGACCAGATGTGGCTCCCAGGATGAGTAACTCTGGCCACCCCTGCTATAAAGGACCATTGCTTAATTTATTTTGTATTGAAATTTTGAAACAATCAATTCACTTATATAAAAACCATTGTTTAGGCCTGAAAGTTAAGCATTTCAAAAATCTGAACATGTTAATCTGGGGCAAAGGAGTAATTCATATACAAAGGGTATACTTTTGAGTAGAGCAGTTGTGATTTTATTTTTAGATTGTAGCAGCTTATGGAAAGTGTTCAAGTATCACTTGCTTCCTGTGCACAGTAAATACTGAAAACGTTGATTTCTGTTGCTCTCTAGGCACCCTTCAGATTCCTCTGCTTTAAGCTATGCTTTAAGTTATTAGAAACTAATAACGTCTATTCCAGACCAGTTACAACATTTTAGCCATGTTGTAGAGGACATGGCTAAAGGCACCGATTTGTTGTTAAGGTACTGATTCTCAACCTGGGGTATTGTGGCACCCTGGGGTGCCTTAAGATCCTTTCAAAGATGCTGTGGGGTACCACACAATGTTAGCACTGTTAGGAATGCAAACATGATTTACAAGATCACCCCACAGTTTTCAAACAGGAATCTGTTGTGTTAAAAACATTTTGACCTTTGTGGACTTTGAGTTCTATGCAACAGAAGAATAAAAAAGTGATAACTAAGAGTTTGCATTTTCTAAAGGGTGCCTCAAGTTTAAAAAGGGTGAGAATCCCTGTTTTAAGTCTGTCAGGTCTGCTATAGTACCACAATTTAATTTGAATCTGCTCCTGAACAGTATAGATTCTGTAATGTAGATGGAAACAACTTGCTTTTGCCCATCCCGGGTTCTGTATGTTTTCATGCCGATTCTCATATTTGAAATGATCTCCCAACACCTATGCTGCTCTAGAGCCCTCAGTGCTCATTTCTTCACTAATCTTCTCAGTCCCCCTCTCACCCGATTCTAAAGGTATTATGCTAGTTTTATCAACCTCCACAATATGCTCTAATTTTGGAACAAAGTACTTTTGTCCTTTCGTTGTTATAAAGCTGTTATGTGCCCCTACAGGGGTAGGAAGAAGAATGATGGATATGCAGGGGGATACGAAGAGGAGGCAGTGGTGGATTTCAGGGGCTACTTTGCACTAAATCAGTCTGCTGTACCATGAGAATGGCAACCAGGGAGCACTGAAATCCTGATCTTGCCTTTTCTGTGGCCATACCCTAGCCAGCAGATCACTGTTATTGTATAAGGCTGTCTGACATGTCTGATCCCAGTACCCAGGGAAGATTTTTCTGTAACCAGCTTTAAGACAACTTTTGCACACGTGGATTTATGCAAAGTTGCCCTAATGTAGGGAAAAATCTGAAGATATTAATATTGGCTTAAAATACTCAAGTTATTATAAATATTATTCCCTACAGAGCACAGGAAAATAATGAAATAAATTGTCAGCTGTATGACTGACTAACCTTTTTACTTTTATGTTATGACAAGCAATTGTTGGTAATGACCTCTGCTACTTGACCCAGTATGAAATGTAAAGGTTTTTCATGTAGAAATATTTTAATTTGCATGCTGTGCCAAGTAGCAAATTGGGATGGAAACTGAAGAGACTAAGTAACTGAGTTATGTCAGAGATTTGGGTAGAATCAAAATTCATACAATCAAAGTTCCTTCAGCTTTGTTACATATTGATGCGTTAGCTAGCTGTTACTTGAGTTTACATTTCCTATTCCAAAAAAATGAATTCTTAGAAGCCATGTTAGTACATGTATATGATTTTGCTATAAACCATGTTCATGTGTGCATGTAATCTTGGTATAAATCAGTGAATAATTTTAAATACAAGAATATACGGTGCTACCTGCGTTGAAATCTAGCGTGTTCTAGTTTTGCTTCTTTACCTGAATATTTTTTTTTTCTTCACAGATTGAAATGCTAAGAAAGAAGGTTCAGGAAAAGGAATTGTTTATAGTACAGCTCTTAGAAAGAATCTCTTTCTTAGAATGTGAGGTAAGTGCCTGAACTTGCAGTAGGCAAGGGAAGGATGTTTTGGTTGATATCTTTTACTGGACCAGCTTCATGGTTCAGATAGTTAGACAAGCTTTTGAATGCAAAGCAGTCTTTCTTGGGTTTGGAAAAGGAAGCAGCTACAGCACTAGACTTTTAGAGGCTAAAATTATTTTGATATGTTTTTAGAAGAACTGTTAGCACCAATGTTATCTGCTGTTTTCTTTATGTATATCTGCTGAGCATAGTTGCTGCTGTAATGTAGAGATATAGTTATGACATAATTTTATGAATGCATGTAATAAATAGTCTTCATGTTCACACCTTGAACTTCTGTAACAAACAGTTATTTACCAATATTATAGATGCAGTGAAAAAAAATCTAGGATTCCAAATCTAGGCTGTAGATTGATTTTTATATTTTTAGTCAATTTTATTGTTCAGAATTAAGGAAATTTCTAGTATTTTAAATAGGATTCTTGAAATTATTAACTGATGAAGAAAGCCTACTGCTCAATTTCATGTTTAATTAGGAATGTAGAATTTATCTTAAAGAGATAATTTGCAAATCCCTGTTTTCCAGAACAAAGAATTACAAGACAAGTTGGACTATTTAATGGAAACTCAGCAAAAGACTAATGTGGAAACCAGAGAGACTGGAGTAGGATGTGATTTTCCACTGAGGTATTGGGTATTCTACCAACTTTACCTTAAAGGGTTTTCTGCAGAAGTTTAGTTTAATCTGATAAGCTGCTTATTAGAAGTACTGGTAGAGTTTTGACAATAGGTTATAAAACATAATTGCTTAAGAAGGCATCTGCAGCCTAATAGTCAAGTATTTTTTTATTTGGTTGTCTATTTCTTTATAGCATACAGAATGGAAATAATATTTCCCTTTGACTACATTTCTGATAGCCACAGTGCACATCTCTTTTGGCAAAATGATGGGACATTGCAAACTGCTGGAGTATGCAAGTGCAAAAAGAAGAAAAAAGTGAATTAAGCAGAGTCCACTCCAGACTAAGATTTCCCAGTTACACAAACATAAAAGCATGTCTTGTGATGTCAAAGGGAAAGTTTATTAAAACTGGTGCTGACAATGCAACAGGACCTTCCCAGGGGTGATTTAAGTACTCTGGTGTGTGAGGCAGCATTAGAATTCAGTTGGTCCAATGGTCAAATTAACTCCATGTTTTATAAAACATGAAGTTGCCACGTTTCCTGTATGAGCATTGGGTAGCTAATATAGGAAATATCTTTTGTTACTTTTGACTATTGTGTGGTGTCAAAGCGCCTCTGAAATCCATTATAATTATAGTACATATTTTTTATGCCATGTGTGCACTGGTAGCCAAATTCTGTCCAAAAACCGACTAATACAGGCTCTGAGCATTGTTTTTGTGTTAAGAGCGGCCTCCCGAAGGCTGAGTAGCAGCAGTAGAGTTCTGTAACTGCTACAGCCCACATTAAGACTGCGGCAATTCTTATACATGCCCCCTGACTCAAAGCGGTAGAGTAGCCAGTGGGTAAGTGTTACCATTCTTCATTTACCTGTGTCCTGTGCACTGAGGTAACAGGTGGCCCAGAGGCCTTCAGGAATACAGACTTACACTCTTGGAATCTTGCCTAGAGGTGCTACCGCAGAGTCAGGTTAGTTGTACTGTAACCAGGGCTATGTATTTGCATTGAGGGTCTGGGGAGATGCAAATTGCTCCTAGCTATATAGTAAAAAGTGAAAGGTAATATTGTCCATGTGTAACAGAGCCACAGAGCTGGTTGAATTTTTAACAGGCAGAGGTGAACTAATCTTCTGCTATGCAGATCCTTTAGCTAGAACTTAGAAGAATGCAAATGATTCAGTAAACCATTATGTCGTATAACTATGGGACTTCTTAATATTTTAAAATAAACCAAATAATTATTTGCTTTGGCCTGGAGCACATTTGACTGGCACAGGTTATGTTATGAAGTTTCAAAGATGATACTCACCATGGCTGGTGACCCTTTTTTGTGATATCTTTGTGCCTCTTTGAATCTGAAAGCAGACTTTCTGTAGCTCTCCGATTTCTTGTTTTTGAGATTTATCTTTGACATCTGTTCAGGTTACATTTTGTGAAACTACATTTTACAGTTAGTAAGAATGCTCCCCTTCCACAACAGTAACAGCTGTATTGCTTGCTATTCTACTACAAGACCTCTGCTGATGCTCATTTCCCAAGCTTGCAAGCATATGACATGAGATTTTTAAATACTCTGAAGGATGCTTTGATAAGGTTTTTGAAGGGTATCAGATGCATGCTGTAGGTTAAAAATAGATTCACTGCATGAGTTTTCAGTGCTAGTATTAATAATAACCTCCAAAATAAGAGTTCTTTGCAGTGAAGTTCACTCTCCTACTGACTGAATGTGTACCTCAAACAAATGCATTGATCCTGGAGAATTGACAGAAAAACCTCTGCTTTTTCTCATGTCTTAATAGCACAGGCATCAGCAGAAGAAGTTTTCCTGAAATTTCAAGGCCTGTGAGGATGTACACTCCATTCAAGAGAGTCTTGGAGCATACAGTGAAGAACAGTACATTTTAACCATACTAGTGAATGTATTTCTTACAAAGGAGTAAATATCTGAAGCTTGCAGTCTGAAAAGAATGAATCTAATCAGCCCTAGAGAAGAACAACAACTTCATAGCTGAAGTTGCTACTGACACTAGCTTTTTGCATGAGGGTATATGTGAAGGGGACTGAATGAGCTACCAGTCTGTATTGCTTCTTAAGAAGCTATGTAGTGCAGTATCTGTTATTTCAAGTACTTTTTAGATGAGACTATTTATGAAGTTGTACAGTTTTTCTGATGGTGTATTGCAATTCTGTTTGTAAAATGAAGCTTTAATTTATTATTTTATTTTCACTCTAAAATAATTAGGTGTAGAATCTATAATTGTTTTGGGAAAGGGCATCAATTCGAATGCTATCACTTTCATCAGTGAGAGGACTACCTGTTAAAGAGCTCTATTCACCCAGCCAGGGTGTACTGGTATTAACATTCTTTTGAAGACAGCTTATGGTGAGGTAGCCTCATAATACTGGTAACCTTTAAAGAATGTGATCTGCAAATACTTGCTAGTGAATGTGTTGCTTACTACTCAGAATAGTAAGCATTCAGGCTGCCTCAGTGCTTTGCTGGATTAAGACCTTAATTGATGCTACCTTGAGTTGTAACCAACACATTCACAACTAAATATAGGATCAGTAGCAAATCTTGTAGTGAAGGCCCTATCATGGGTCATTCTTAGTCCATTTTGCCCCAGAAGGGGGAATGAACTGTAACAACAAAGATTTGCTTTCCATGGGCAGCAGTTGCAGGTTTATTCTCTTACCTGTTGTAGGGTTTTGATCCCAATTACTGTTTCTTTGGAAAGATTTATTGTCACATGCCCAACTTCAGTGTACTGGCAGAAACAATTGCATCTACTTGTGAATACCTGGATATTTTTCATGTTTTATTTGTAACTTCATAAGAAAACATTACACTTTTAGTTCCAAATGATGCCTTCTTATAGCTCTATTAAAAGGAGTAAAGACATAATTTTACAAAACAGCTAGTGCTGCATTTGTTTTTTAAAAAGTATTTTGTATTGAGGTACGTATCATTGTGGTAATGTTTGTTGAACAATTAATTTTACAACCAGAAGATGCTAGTTGTACCTTAAAACTTCACAAAATGAATGTTTCCCTCAACCTTTACAATGCTTTTTATAATCAGCACCTATGGCAGGAATATAGTTAGTAATTAGTGTTCTTATTGAAATAATCAATGGTCTACCCCTCAGAAACCCCTTGCTTACTCTTACGGCATTTTACATTTTTGAATGTTTGTTTAACAACGCTTATTTTTATTTATCCTGAAGCTACACTATTTAACTGGGAAATAAGAGTGTTTCAGAAGACAGTTTCACAAGTGCCTGAGTTGATATAGCAACTTTGAAATGCTTTACTTTACACAATTAAGGTTCTTGCAACCAAAGCAGGGGAATAGAATATAAATCAGGACCCAATCCTGCCTGATCCTATGTGCTGTGTTACACCTCAGTATAATTTTTTTCTCTCATTTACCTGGACTTTGACTCCTAAGCCATTACAAAAGTTTGTTCTTAGTTTCTGAAAAGTAAAGCCCGATCCTATCTATTCTGTTACCTGCAAAATTCAAAGAATATTTTTCAGTCCAAAAAGCAAAGACATGAGTTAATTCAAACACAATTTAATATCTCCGTATTTGATTATAATTTCCATTGTTATAGAATTTGTTATTTCATTCTTTAAAAAGCAAAAAAAAAAACCCCAAGGAAAACCCAAAACTTAAACTTTGCTGAATAAATGTTACTTCCTTTGAAAGGAAAATCTGATTTTTGGGATTGAGGGACAAATTATTATAAAATTTAACCTATTTAATAAATGGGTCTACATACGTCAGACAGTCATCCAGGTGCAAGGGAAGATTTTTAAAACTCTGCTTAGAGTAAAAAGGTGAAGTGCTGCCCCAGTTGATGTGCTGGGTCATGTTAGATAGTAAGGGTAACACCAAAACCCATCTTAAAACTGTTTCTCTTAGTGAAGAGACACAGAATCTCTCCTTTGGAAAAGCACCAAAGGGCAGCTACCCTGAATACAGGGGATTATACTCTTTAAAAGAGGTTGCTTTCTACAGGCCCCTGAAATGAGGCATTGCTTTTAAACTCAGAATGAGGGTAAATGTGACCAAATGTTATATGGTTGCACATCTTCAAAACAAACAGAGTAAGGGAAGTTGTGGTTTTTACTTTAAGTGGAGAATTCCATGAATGAAGTGCTGATGTTTTAGATGCGTCATCCTGAAAATGTAACTGGACTATAACCTAATAATTCCCAGATGGTTTGAAGCTTGTCAGAATTATAAGTTAGAATTTGTTGAAGGTAAATTATTGGTAGAATATTAAAATATACAAACTACTACAAAGATTATAGGGAATGACTTTGCTTACCCAATGCAAATATGACATGCTGGCCTAGTGCATGTTATCATGACTCCCTCTAGTGCTATGTATCTGTAACTTCAGATTACTTAATAGCTCATTCTCCTGAGCTGAAAGATTTTAGGATTGATTCCCCCCTCTTGATTCTGGTGCCTGTCTTGAGTATGCAGCTACGTTTCATTATAATGAGTACCTCTTACCATCTTAGATGTCAAGATGGCATCACTAGGCCTCGAGGAATTTGTGTTGATCCTGTAATGAGGTTGGTTTATAATAATGGAAACTAACACTGGACTTTCAGGTGTTTGTATGAAGTGCAGGTTAAAAGATGAGGGAAAAGGGCACCATTATAACAACAAGTTAACCTTAAACTTTAATTATTTTAATATAAATACAACTGGAGCCAATGCAGTTACACAGGCTAGGGTTCAGAAACAATGAGCAAATATTACAAGTTTTGTGTGGCAAATAGCATGTGAATAGGGACAGTGAGGGGGACTGGAAGAGTATTTTAATATGGATTTCAAAAGGAAATTGAACATGCTTTCAAAAGGCTCAAAAGAACCTCTTGAGGAAAGGCTGTGCAAGTCTCATTAATTCTGAGCGTAGAAAAAGTTTATCCTCTGAAGCTGACAAACCACTAAAACTGCAAAATAGTAAGTGGAATTTGATTCTT